TGCTGTAGCTCCATCCATATGTGCATTGCTTGTACAGCTCCCTTGCGCGCCCTGTAGAGGTGTCGGGAGCCAGAATGTGACGTCACTCTGGTCCAAGCACCTCTACAGGCCACACTAGATCTGTAAGCAATGCACATATGGATGAAGCTCTCACGTGGCCCCACCCCACCTCAAGTTGGCACTGGGCAGCATATTTTGAATGGCTGCTTGGCACAAGAACTGACAGTGCTGCACTAGGAGGCTGAGGATCCTCTCACCTAGAAAAGTGGAAGGCACATGGGGACCCAGTGAACTTTTGGGTCTCGACTCACCAGTTGAGAACCAAGGTCTTAGGGTGTCCAGGTTTTGCTAAAGGTTTGACACATGCAATTCCACAGGGGGAAGGCCGCAGGCTCCCTGGTACTGGTCTAAGCCATGAAGAAGACTTGCCTCTTCAATCAGACGTTTCCGATCTACACTCACAAGCAGCGGCAATTTCAAAAGTGAACCTTTAAGTGCTTCAAAGTGTTTAAACTAATAAAACCACCGATGTGCAGGCCCCATAAGCAACCCTGTTATGTTCATAGTAAATACCCCGAATTCCATGCTCAGGCTTCTGTCCAAGTCGGTACTAAACCTCTCCCACCTTGCAGCAGTCTGAAGCCGGAGCAGCATACAGCCCGGGATCCAGGTCCCCCCCCCCATACAGGTATACGGGATTTGGGTATAAACATATAAACTTCCTGCATATTAGAAGTATGTTTAGCGGAGAAACATCATAGGACCTAAAAGGATGACATTATGGGTGTACACCGAGGTGCTATAGCTTTTCAGTAAACCAGCAAGTCCTCCATTTTGGTTCAGTCTACAATTGCAGCTTTTACTAATGTGCGGGGGATGGGTACCTTACAAAAAGTGACATCCTGATGCCCTCCATGTTGGGTTAAATGGCGTGTTTCTGTTCCTTGTGTTTTTGTACAATCTTTTCACTATGTTTTATAACAAATGGGTCAATAATCTAATCTCTATACATATATATATCAGCTTTTTGTATAAAAACAAATTCTATTGCAATAAAAGTCTGTGTACATTTTATTGCTGCATGTTGTAGATTTCTGCTGAAATATTAGAAGGAACAATATTGGTAATTTTTACCTAACGCTACAGCAATAATGGATCCTGAAATAAAGGAACAGACGGATTTATTAGTATTTCATGTCCAGACGCCCTTCCCTGGAAAAACAAGTGTTAAAATATATTCAAGTACTATAACTATGAACAATAATGTATCTTATTTGTGTATCACTCGGCTGTAGATCCTCCAATCATCTCTGAATTGGTGCGGACACTGTCCGTCCTTCTGGAAGGGGGGATACTTGTGTTCCCCATGGTCCCTGTGTGTGTTGTAAAGTAGTCACCTCTGCAAGCTCACTCCCGGGATGGACTACAATCTCTGCATTAAAATCTCGTACGACCCGCCCATCTTGGACAGGCAGATCGTACTTGCGATCATCGCAAGCCCACTGAGGGGACGGCTTGCTGATGACTGCAATGCTGAGCGGGCAGTGTGCGCTTGTGCACCTCGGGGCGTGCGCCTTTCGTCTTGCGATACCAACCTGCCGAAAATCGTATCCAAAGTCGTGCGACCGTACAGTAAATGCGGTCGCACGCTGCCCATACACCTGCCGATTATCGTACGATCGCGAGATCATCCACCACTATCGTACGATAATCGGCAGGTGTATGGACACCTTTACTAAGGCCCTTCTCCCCGATTGCTCAGTTTGGCCGAGCGACCAGCTCTTGGAAGAGTCCAGGTTCTTCTTCCATTTGAGGATTATGGAGGCCACTGTGCTCTTGGGAACCTTCAGTGCATCAGAAATGTTTTTGTAGCCTTCCCCAGATCTGTGCCTTGCAATAATCCTGTCTCTGATCTCTGCAGGCAGCTCCTATGACCTCATGGCTTTTGCTCTGATACAGTATGCATTGCCAGCTGTGAATCCTTCTATAGAGAGGTGCGTGCGCCTTTCCAAATCATATCCAATCAATGTAATTTACCCCAAGTGGACTCCAATCAAGGTGTAGAAACACCTCAGCAATGATCAAGAGAAATAGGAGGCACCTGAGCTAAATGTCAAGTGTTGTTGCAAAGGGTGTGAATACTTATGCCAATGTGATATTTCAGCTTTTCCTTTTTCATACATTTGCAAACATTTCTTTAAGTGTTTTCACTTTGCCATTATGTGGTACTGAGTGTAGATATTATGTGGTACTGAGTGTAGATATTATGTGGTACTGAGTGTAGATATTATGTGGTACTGAGTGTAGATTAATGAGAACAAAAAAAGAAGAAATTGTAGTATCCGGCTGCAACAAAACAAAATAGATAAAAAATTGCTCGAGCGCCATGGGTGTAGGTGTAAAATGTTAGACATATTATGGCAACTTGACACCATTACAGAACAAGTCCAGCTTATTTCACTCTTTAATCTACTGACCAGCAGTCCAAAAAGATACAACACCAATTAGGGATCAGCAATAACCATTTTCCAACTTATTCTTTAATGAGAAGTGACTGAGAAAAGCCAAATCGCTCTAATGTGCTATGTTATAAATGGAAAGCACTGCACACACTGGGTCATAGGGTCTTTCATGATTGGTGTACCTGATGCCTCTTCACAGCAGATGAAGAAGGTTTTCTAGGCAGGCCGCCTTGATGAACATCACTTGGCATAGTGGACTCTAGACTGGTTCATGTTTCCAGCAAAAATGGCTTGGTGCTGACACGGGGGGCAAAGACATCCAATCAGAACCCAGCTTTTATGAGACTGATTGAAAAGTTCTTTTATAACAAGGGAAAAATGATCAATCTCATCTGCTAATAGAGAACCCATCAGAATAGGAATACTGGAGGAAACATTGCCAACTTGTTTTTGAAGAAGCATGCCCCAGGGCTGTCATCCTTGCCAATTTCTTTGCTGCTCAGTGAGTAAGTCCCCTGGAACAAGCATGCCGCCGCTAAAGCATTGAGTCTGATGTGCACATACTTGGATCCGGGACAATGGATGAGGGTCCTGAATTAGGAGGAGTTCTCTGGAGCTTGGGTCAGCAATTTGAGCTTATGTCATTTCTTTCCTGACATGATCCTTTTAGCCCTCCTTCACACTGTAATCGGCCGGCACGCACAGTTCCGTGCTGCATGCAGGGCCGTACCGAGCAGCTCCCAGGAAGGACAGGTGCTGCGTGTGATTAGTACGCAGCCCCCGTCCTTCTCTATGGGACTATGCGGCCATACGCCGCCCTACACGCACCTCAATTGCAGGTCCGTATGAGTGCGTGTTTCCTGGCTCGGACGCAGACAGGATCCATCCTGTCAGCGTACAAGTATGGACACCCGCATGGAAGGTGAGCGGAGGGCGGTGTATGGCCGTGTAGTCCCATAGAGAAGGACGGGGGCTGCATACTAAATCACACACACCCCCTGTCCTTACCGGGAGCTGCTCGGTACGTCCCTGCACGCAGCACAGCGCTGTACGCGCGGGCTGATTCCAGTGTGAATGAGTGTTTAAGGTGAACCAGTCACAAATTATTTAACGGATTACAAAATTTAAAAATGTCATCCTAATAATCTTATAAGAGAACATAATTTAAAGCATTCATGATATAAAAGGTGCCCCAAGTCCCTCATGGGAAGGACAACTCTAAGCCAAGGGTCATGCTCATGTTCCACCCCTCATGAAGCAAACACAGCTCACGAGATGAAGGCATCAAAGTCGCAGGAGGTGGAGACATGCTGCAGGAGAAAAGCCATTTGTGGGTGGAATGCAGGACTCCCATATTGACATCACATATCATCCACATAACAGTCTTCAATGATACCAGCTTTTAAAACTTTATTATTCAAATGTTATTGAAATAAATATAGTACTAATGCGGATTTCCTAAGAATACAAATTGTTTAGCTCTCCGATTTCACTGACCCAAGACAAGCATGCAGTTAAAAAAAAAAACAGAACTCCTGATCTGCATAAGTATCCCGGGTCAAGATCTCACGATGTACTGCAATCATTGGTCAGCATGACCCTGTTTCCCCGAAAATAAGACCTAGTACTATTTTTGGGAATTGCTAAAATATAAGACCTAGTTGTGACCATTCCCAGGGCCGGTGGTGGCATTAGGGGGAACTTGAAGAGCCGCGGGAGAGAATCAGCGGTGCCAACGAAGCCAGCGCTAGAGGAAGCGAGGCGACAGCGGAGGGAGCAGAGCCGCATAAGCCGATGCTTCCTCTATAGCGCCGACTCCTGACACAGGCGGAGTGATACCAAATGCACTCCGCCTGTGAGGAATCGATAGTGAAAGTGCGCTTCGCTCATTCTGGCCAGCGATTGGTTAGCAAATTGCTCTTGGGAAGGTACGGCACCCCTGATCGCCATATTTTTGTACATGAATAAGTGTGGATTGTTGTACATTCCAAAAATAAGACCTAGTGTGTTTTTTTGAGCCAAAAACAATATATAAGACAGTGTCTTTTAGATTGTAAGCCCTCAGGGGCAGGGCCCTCCTTACCATCTTGTCTTGAATTGTATTGTGATTGTAATGTCTTCCTTATATTGTAAAGCGCTGCGCAAACTGTTGGCGCTATATAAATCCTGTATAATAATAATAATTTTCGAGGAAACACAGTAGCTAGATTTTTCAGAAGAGGTGGCAGCCATTATTTTTGCTTAGTTCAGGTTTTCCCTTAATAATCACTCTCTCAAGAAACACAAAATTAATACATTTTAAAGCAAGATACCGGCGTGAGAAGATCTGGTGGAAGTTGCCTTCTCGGACTCCCGAGCTGCATACCAGTTGCCCCTACCGCCCTTAAAAAATGTCCCATGGCTGTGTTTTAGCTCAGATAGACTCTTATTAAACCGTTGATGAGCTCCTGCAAGAATCACTTAACCTTATTGTAGAAGAAACCAAGAAACCACCTTATGACTATCAAGCTCCATCATTGCATTTCCCCCGAGGATTCTGCTAAGCACATACAGTACACACTGCCTCTGGTTGGGTCCTTTTGTAAAGCCCTTGAAGAACCGTCTAGACCCATATAGGAACCTTCTGGTGTTGTTCTCAGCGGGAAGCTGCTCTCTCTTCTATGGCTCTGGTCATTCTCTTGTACCATGGTTGAATCTTGGTGTGTGCCATCATATCATCAAAGGATTTCAAGCCCTCCATGACCCTCAGGACCCCGTATACAGCCTGTGAAAGAGTAAAACATTCAGGATCAATGGAAACACAACTAGAGATATAAAAATCGGCCAGAAACACACGTCTGGGTTTATTATAACAAAGTATCTGTGAAGTCAAAAAAAATCCTAATGGGCAAATGATATTTATTAAACTATTATAAATTATTTCTCTACCTTTATTTTCATGCTAATACAGCAGTCACATGACCACATAACTTCTCTACCCGGCCCTCTCCCTGAGTGCAGGGGGTATCTGTATTGCCTGAGGGAGGCAACAGAGTGACGTTGGCAAAAGCGAGAGGGAAAATACATACCCTGTGCCAGGTACACGACCTTCCATTCCTGCTGCTTCAAATTGCCAATGCGCAGATAGAGATTTCACAGTGACACTCCTGCTGGAAGCTTCTGTCAATCAAGCAGAGCAGGGCTGGGCGGCGGGCATAGTCACAAAGCTGCCTACATGACTACAGACACGCCATGCATCTTATCCAGCAAGCTGAGGGGTGCAAACTGACCAACATATAGATTTGCTTCTATGCTTTGTGTTGTCAGCATGATTCAGAAGGAGAGGGGAACTCACAGGATAACCAGGTACTTGCTAGGAAATCAGAATACTTGTACAACATACTTTATTAGAAAGGGAAGACATAACCAAACCTCATCAGAGGCTGCATACTAGGGATGTTCAGATAGCAGTGCCGATACTTGCCATTTTCATGAGAACTACCAGGGTTGCAGATATATATATATATATTAGTATAAATAATCATACATTAAAAACAGATGTACAAATCCCAGGAGCTCCGTGTGCTCCTTACAAATGACAGCGGCCTCCTAACTTTTACATTTTTCTCTAGTCTAGTCTTGGAGCTCAAAGTGTTTGTACTTGTGCCGAGTACAGTACTTGGTATCTAAACTATGCTGGGGGGAGGGGAGGGCAAAGCACTAGAGCTGCACCGAAATGGAAATTTCCAAACCGAAATAAAATAAATTGTCAGGCAAAACCGAAAATGGTTTTTTATTTTAATTTTTTCAAATTTTTTAAATATTTTATTTTTTATAAACTTATTTTTAAATATTTTTATTCATTTTTGATTAAATATTTTTATTTTTTACTTTACTTTTAGGGGCTT